CCCATTTTATTTATTCTTTTTATTGTATGTTTTGAAATCCATGCTTCATCAGGTGAACATTCATCCATCATCAGTCAACTTCCAAGTGCGGCACTATGAGAGCCCCTACCTGGTCTTCCACGAAAAGATCAAGACGTCAAAGGTAATTTCAAGACTGTTCATCTGACATTTGACCCTGCAAAACCTGAACCAAACTGTATGCAGTCCCACGTTTCTGTGAGGAGACTAGCTGGACACTCTGCACACTTGAATAATGAAAACACTCTTTTTTAAAAGCATGGTTTGTCATGTTTTTTGGCATGCACCAAGGAAATACCAAATTTTGTGCAACATTTGCATGAAACATAGCAACAAGAGCGGGCAACACAATTGATGATTGTAAGCTGTGATTTTTTTTTTGTCAACCAGGTGTACATCCGTGACTGCAGTATGGTTTCTGTGTACCCACTGCTTCTGTTCGGAGGCTGTGATCTCTCCATTAATCTGGATAGAGGGAAGTTTATCATTTCTCTCGATGAGGGTTGGATTCGATTCAGTGTTGCCACTGTTGAGGTCAGTTCTCTCAAACGCCGGAATTATGAAGTATTCTTGGATCCTTGCGTTTTTACCACCATTTTTTCCTACTTCGTGCATTGCTTGGCAAATACATTGAACTTGATTTCTTGATTTTATCAGGGGTGTGAGTGGCCAATTAAAATCAAAGCCGAAGACAGCTAGCAAATAGCTTGAATGTTAAAAGCTCCAGTGCTTTTGTACAGACCAGGTGTACAAAAAGCTGAAATTCAGGGTCAACATCTAAACAAAAATATGGAATCCGGTAAAAAGCTGAATTCTCACACCCCTATTTTATATAATCCACTGAAAAACCTGAAAAATGAGGAAGTTATATGAATGGGATGGTACACAGCGGAGAAACAGAAACAAGCGGAGAATTCTGACAAGAAGTTCCCAGCAAAATAGTTTGGAACTGGCTTAAATTTTTTTGTTGTTTTTGATTTTCACTCCATCTGTGATAACTTTTCAAGATTTTTTTCCTAAACTCACACTTTTGTCACACTTGTGCTTAAAAAGATACTTTTGAAGAAGCAGTGTGCAGAAATTACACCATTTTAATTGTCAAAGCCACTCTGGTACACGTATCCTCACTGTCAGGTGGCAGAACTGCTGCGGGAGTTGAGGCTGGAACTAGATCAACTCTTGCAAGACAAGATCCAACAGCCCAACATGGACCTGTGCACCTGCCCACGAGGGAGTCGCATCATTACAGCCATCGTGCAACTCATTACCACGCAGTGATTACACTAGACAAAACAACTGGATGCTCAATGGAGCTATGCACCTGCCCTCAACGGAGTTACATCATCACAGCTATTGTGCAACTCATTACCACACGGTGATAACGAGAGACAAAACAAGTAGATGCTTGATGGACCTATGCACCTGTGCATGAGAAAGTCCCATCATCACAGCTATCATGCAACTCGTTACCATAAAGTGATCATGAGAGACACATTGACCTGCCCAACTTACCACACTTAAATGTGACCAGGTTCACCTGGTTTGTGTGCCATATCATTAAAAATGTTCTAATCAGCAGCTAATGGTGCTTCCACAGTAACTGAAGTTCTCTATGATCACATATTTATCAAATGTCTGGACTGTTAATGGGATGCTGTGTATAGTGTGTTCACTCAACCATCCATTAGGTACAGTGTGTCAGAATTTGAATCTCATTTTGGTACTCTTGGCTTAAGGCAGTGAACCGAAGTCACAGGAATCCCGTCAACAGTGACATCGAGAGGGATGTGGCTCATACTTGAGTGCCATTGCTCCAGTGTTCCCAGCCCCTGCAGGAGAATGCTACCAGTTTGCACACATTCAAATGAAAAGTGGTCATGCATACATTGTGCCACACGTACGAGGCCAAGTGAATGCTCGCCAAATGCCTATTGCCTGACCCACAGGACATAGTTACTTGGTGCCACAGCGCCCTCTATCATCGGATGCAAAGAGTCCACTGAATATGGTAGCTGAGATTCTGATGCCAACGATGCCTTTCTGGTGAACATATATTTTGTCCCAGTTATTTATGGAAATGACCTGCTTGTGCCAATGTACTTTATTTTTTAATGTGATGCAAAGAAAATGCTACAGTTTCAATAAAATCAAAAATTCTAAATTAAAATCAATGAGTTTTGGAAGGAGAGTCAGTAGTATTTGAATTGCTGAATTTGACACCAAAATCTAACATGACATTTTTGTGAAAAAAATAAAGATTTATGTTTACAAGACAGCGGTTTTTTTCTGGTTTTATCTTAGTATGACTTGTGCAATTAAACTTGTACTTAAAGTTAATCTTAAAGTTAAACAGTATCTAATTTCTTCCTACTGTCATCATTAATAAACATATGCCTGAAGGAGATGGATAAAGTGCTGTCATACAACGGATTAAATATGGCAAAAAGGATGGGGTAAAAGCACCCAACATACACGTACATACATGTATACAGCATTCAAAACTACAACACGGCTTGGAAAGAGATTACCTGTACTGTTACTGACTGTCCCATTCACACCATGAAATAAAAGATGAACTCGCTCAATGGAGGATTTGAATCTGTTCCCTCTGGAACATAGCACCAGTGCTCTAACAGTGTAGCTAATCGGCCGTATATGAGAGTCATCCTTTTTTTGTCCTGTGTGTCCGGGATTCACGGCCAAAGTCATGCTAGCGGCATTTTCTGTCAAATGTTACATCATATACATTACAAACAAATTCGACCAAAATTTTAATAAATTGAATGAAACAGCACATCGGAGTGGTGGGTCACTGACCAAGTGTTCCAATGCATGGTAGAACCACAAAAGACATGTCTATTCCATGGTGAATGGAAGTTCTCTTGTACAGTCGTGTACATGTGTACGTGGCTAGAACATGACTCTCTACAGAAGATTTATTCCTGATTTATTCGAGTGGTATTAAACAAATACCTACTGTCTTACATTCACGCAGTGGAAAGAGTGATTCTATTCGATGACCAATAGAATGTTCCATTGCACTTGTACAGTAAAGTATCCATATTTGTAGAAATTCATCTGCGGTACTGAAACTCAATGGTTCATTCATTGCACTGCAAATTGCAAGTGCATGAAGCCCAATGTAAAGAAATACTGGCTGGGGTCTAACTTCCTCAATACAAAATCTGTTGAAAGCCACTGGCAGTTGTTCCATTCACCATTCCATGGTGAATGGAAATTCACTTGTACAGTCATATAAGTGCATAGAACACGGCTCTTCAAAAGGCAAGGGTGTACTTATCAGACTCCACAACCCTCCACTATTTATCATAATGCCCATGTTAGAAGTACACATACATGCACATATACCTGTACAAAGCCACATCTGTCCTTGGTCCTATTCACACTCTAATGATGTGTACATGTATATCAACACAAGGGAAAATTCCACACAGGGAAATCACAAATATTCCCCTGTGACACATCAGCCATCAAAAAGCAGTTACCAGTATATTTCTTAGAGAGTCACATTTAGAGGGGAAATCACAAAGCATTACTCAGAGAAATACTAAACTGACCCTGAGAACACTTAAAATCTTTCAAACCAGTCTCACAGGGTTTTTGTACAAGATGTCAAGTGATGTCTAGTCATGGAACTCTTTCTGTCAACAAACTGAACAATGGTGTCTGCTGTTGGCTACTGAATCCTCTGTGGGCAAGGGCTCCCTCATGGGTTAAAAAGAAGGAATGGGCCAAGAAATGAATGCCACTGCCCCACTGCATGCCTGGTGCAAGCTGAAGACCCTTCTGGTTTTCCTGCATTTAGGTGGAAAATCATGTAGGTCTTTCTTGCAACACTTTATACTATTTTAAAACCAAATGAGGGTTTTGAAACATGGCAGACACAATTAGAGGATACCATTTGAAGTGGGGAAATTTGGAGTAAATACAGAAGATTTCATCAAAACCGAATGGCGCCCCTCTGTTGTGTCTGCCATACTTCAAATAGGCTAGTGACTTTTTGAATGGCAAACCAACAATCGCAGTCTCATTCATGCACAGAATCCACATGTGACCAACTGGCAACAGGTCTCTGGCTGTGATGAGGAAAGTTGGACCTTGGAAGAGGAAGTCTTCATCATACATGGAAGTTTTCATTACTGCAAGTTCTCGGGCTGGACAGTTCTGGTTTGGCTTGTATTAATGCTTGCACTCGTGCCAGAATGATCTCGTTGGCACTCACGCAGTTCTGTACACCGTATGGCGGTTCAATGTACAGCGCTCCGGCTATGCTCAGGAGGTCACTGTTCTCCCCCGACAGTGCCACTGGAATGTGATGCTTCTCCAGCCATTGTTTGAGATCAGTCTTCCGCTGAGCTATCTCCTCGGCTGACAAGTTGTCGCTTTGTCCGCCGGATTGGAGCAAACCATTCAGTCTGTCCAGGCACTGAGGTGTGGGATCACCGACGAGGGTCACGGTGTGGATAGCATGACCCATGATGACCTCTGTCATAGCTCGCTGGTTATCGGGGAAGTCTGCAAGCACAATGCTATGAACGTAAACAAATCAGAGTCACATTTCGCATCACAAGCGATGTTGAATTTTAACATCAAGTGTTTCAAGGCAAATATATGTTTAGGCAAGATCGGTTAATCTGTAAAATGTTTGCTTACTATGTGACCAGTTATTCTTACAGTCAAACTCTCTGTGAGCTAATCAGCATTTAGATTAATGCACATTTATAAAAGACTGTTTTTAAACCAGGGAAGTAAAGTCTTAGATTTCCAACAGGTTTGACCAAATACAATTTCAATTAACAAATCACTCAGATCAACAGATTATGCCAAGCATGTACACTTTGTAAGAAAAGTCTTTAACAAGGAAAAGCATCTGCTAGAACAACCTTGGCAGATTCACCTTGTCATCACCATCATATGAGGTGATTAGAGGAGCAGTTGGAGCAGCCAACCTATAAACTTCATGGTACCTTTTTACTTGTACTGAAGTAAATTCTTTGGCTAACCCTGGTTGGATGTTGTCTTCATTTACACTACAACTGACAAGTCGCAATGCAATGTAGGCGATATCCACTGGGCTAACTCTTTGGCACTGATTTGCATCTACATGTACACTGCACATGCACTGTCAAGTTTCTTTGGCAATGGCATTACATCCAAACTTATGGACTTTGCTGAGTAAAACAGTAGAAGTTGAAAGGAAATTGCAGTAACAAGTATGATTAGAATGTGTGCCCTTACTTCTGGAAACCAAAAGGCACATGGACATGACAGAGACCTGTGTTCCTTTGGGTTTCCAGAAGTAGCGTGCATTGACGTTCACTGTTTGGCATGTATTTCTCACCATTTATGATCTTTCAGCGATGCAGATCGCAACATTCTTGAATTAAGATGACAAATTCCAGCAGGCCTAGGCAACCATAAAACTTGCATGGGCCTAGTCCCAGACTAGGGGCCAGTCTACTGGACTAATTCCCCCACAGTTCTGGGGGTTCATTACATGTACCTTTAGCACCCTGTTCCTAATATAAGGGAACAAATTCTACCTTTTCAAACAACATATCTAAACAAGTTGTTGGTGATGTCCTCTTTCACATCAGGAAGGAAAGAAAATGGGGCTTTTGGTTTTTGAGGGAAATTTTTGGGTAAAACGGCAGTGATGCATGACCACTCCAAAGAGCTGTGAACGAAAAATTAGCGAATGTAGTCTGGTTCCTTGACCTGGAGATTTGCTTTGATGAATCCTAACGCCTGGGTCGGGCAACCAGACGAAAAAAAAAATGGCGCGTGATTCGACTGAGTGGTTGTATTTTGCCAAACTCGGGTTAGAAATTTGAAGTTTTCTTACTTAGATATTGTCAAAAGTTACCTAAACTAGGCCTATCACATCAGGATTGAGTAACGGCTCCTTGAGATCAAAATGTTAGTTAGTTTGAGAAAGTGGACTTTGTTTCCTTATTATAGGAACAAAGTGCTAATGGTAATGAACCCCAGTCCTGGGGGTACTGGACTAATGCTCCCAGTATGGGACTAGCATGGGCCTAGGCCTACATGTACAGTGTAACATTGAGCATTTAAAGTGTTAATATATAAATATACAGATACAACGTGTATAACGCTGGCTTAACGCGTCACTCATACCATGGAGGAACCATCATGCTCTTACCCCCAGAACTGTGGGGTCCGACGTCTGTCCCGTACCGTGGGTGCAGGGCGGACGTCGGACCCCACAGTTATTATTATTGTTATATATTTATGGTAATGACACCAAGGATTTCTCAAAAGTGCCGCCACTGTAGCTCACAAGCCTGAAGAAACCTGTCATGCCTGTAGAGAGGGGACAATGAGAAGCAATTACAGTTTTAGAGGTGGGAGGAAAACCTCAAAGGAATATTCTGGGTAAAACCCACGGAATCAGGTAAGGACTGAAAACCCAATCCATACATGTATGTGGACCAGGCCGGGATTCGAACCCGGGCCGCAGAGGTGTAAGGTGAGGAAAGAACCACTACGCCAACCTGACTCTGGGAGTATCAGACCCCATGGTTCTGGGAGTATCAGACCCCATGGTTCTGGGAGTATCAGACCCCATGGTTCTGGGAGTATCAGATCCCATGGTTCTGGGAGTATCAGACCCCATGGTTCTGGGAGTATCAGACCCCATGGTTCTGGGAGTATCAGACCCCATGGTTCTGGGAGTATCAGATCCCATGGTTCTGGGAGTATCAGATCCCATGGTTCTGGGAGTATCAGATCCCATGGTTCTGGGAGTATCAGACCCCATGGTTCTGGGAGTATCAGACCCCATGGTTTTGGGAGTATCAGACCCCATGGTTCTGGGAGTATCAGATCCCATGGTTCTGGGAGTATCAGACCCCATGGTTCTGGGAGTATCGGAGTCGAGTCGGACCCCATGTTCTGGGGATTAGGCCTATTTTTAGTCTTTACTTTACTCTTACCTCCGAGAAACAGGATCTACCGTAAATATCCATCCAGTGTGACTTTTACTGTCTGTACTTATTACCTCCACCCTTTTAGACACCAACAAACACCAATCACTAGGAGAAAGTTCCACGAAATCTGTTCCTTTGAAAACCTGCTTCGCCTTACATGTAAGTCTGTCCTCGCGACCGTCCATGGGCGCTGCCATATTGGAAATCATTTCACAGCGCCCTCCATAGTTTTCGCGATTTGCATTTGCATGTCGATATTGTACGAGGCCACTCGTAGCTAGGTTGCCCCCCCCCCCCCCGGGCGATCTTTTTCGTCTTTTCTTTCCTTTACTTACAAAAGTGCCTTAAAGTATCAAAATGTAGCCATAAACCTCAAAAAGGCCATACAGGATTACTATTTTTAAAATCCGAAATTTTTGGCCCCCGAAGAAAAAATCAGACCCCTCTTTGTTTGACCCCCTTTGTTGCGTCCAAGCGTAAGGTTTGGGTAACATAAATTTTAAAAAGTTCGTAGGTTTATGCCGGATGGAGAAAAGAAAACGCCGAGTTCTACACGAACTAGATTTTTGTGGGGAGTTATCAAACGATCTGTAATAATATTTTTATTTGGAAAGCATACATCATGTATTTTCACGCGGATTGAACGCTCCATTCTACAAGGTGGCGCCGAGCTCGAGTGGAATAAAACATTTCATCTTTCACCCTTTATAATTACGTATAGTTTTCAAATTACCATTCTACTCATAGAGTATTTATTATTTTAAATAACAGCAAATAAAAAAATTCAAACGTTTGATTTAAATGTTCAAAACTTTAGAACGCGCAAACGCGCAGCGTTGGATGTCTGTAGACTTTTAATGAAAAAGTTTCAATGGTAGTCGCAAAGAATCGTTCTGTGAAAAAAAAGAGTCGTTCATTGCTGTGCCATCCATTCGTTTACCGATTGCATACTTAAACCCATGTGTTATGACTCGATCTTTAGGGATACTGTGATAGAAAAATCAATTATTCTGAATCTACACTCCATGGAATTATGTACAAAAAGGTGAAATGCTTTTCGTTATATTATTTTTTAGCTGGAAGGGTACATCGATCCAAAACTTATTGTGGCGTATATCTAGAAGAAGTGGCTGAGCAGTCGACTAGCTACACAGATATTATTTTACATACTCAGAAAAATATGTCGCGATTTTCATATTTAGATCTTTGATAAATTTGATGGTGCAAGTATAGATATTCACAGATTTATTTGCGTTGTGCAACATTAGTTTTATTTTAGAGTTTCCATTAAAAAGTTTGACTTACAGTTAAAAAGTGTATTATCAAACAAAGAAATGATCTTGTCCGAAATCACACACGCATTAGGCCTACACGTTTCGTAACACAGAAAAACTCAATGATGTAAAATGCAGATGTCCACGTAGTTCTCTGGTGTATAGTGCGCCTCCAAGAGTTTGCAACGCGTTGACCAATCATAGTGTGCGAAATCTGTCGACCCAATGCGCGTTTGAAAAGGGTCGACAGATTTCGCACACAGTGATTGGTCAACGCGTTGCAAACTCTTGGAGGCGCACTTTTGTGAATCGACCGCATTGCGGAAGAAAACTGAATTATAGAGAAATAAATGCAGAATGCAGGCAAATAAGGAAGGAGAGAAGTCAAGAGGGGATGACTACAGATACACGAGGGAAAGTATATCGATCTAAAACAACTCAAAGTTGTTAAAAGTGAATACACAATAAAACATGAACTGTAGAACGAAGGGGAGGAAGTGGATTGTCAAGGACAAGGAATTGTATTTGAACAAATCCGATCGAGTTAGAATGCCATATCATGGTCAATGTAACTTTGGTGCCCCACTCTCAATATGCTCCGAGCGACGGTCCTGGTTATTTTTCACCCCAAGCATTTCCCCTCTATGGAGACTTGTCCATTGAGCTTGAAGACGCCTCGCTGTTGTGTCCCCGTTGTTTGATTCAGATGACTTGGACAAGGCCTATTTTTATTGCAATTTTCCTCAAAGTACACCTGATGATTCCTCCTACCGCAAGCAGGATGCAACACTATTTCTTTCGACGTTCTCCCACACCCGTACCCCAGTTTCTTCTACTGCTCTGGTCATCAGACTATGGTCGCATTGGGACAGCTGGGGGCGGGTTTACAGTAAGGCTCGGGGCAAACAAAGTACGAGCAGCACCGACAAAGAATGTCGTGGAAGAAACAGATGGAATCGGCAAAAACACAGCACGAAGGATAATCTCCACAACAGCCGGTATCACTCCCTAGTATGTGCCAACCGAAGTCGTACTGGAATAGAACGGAAAGTTGGAAATTTTGAATAACAGAAGCACAGTTCAGTGTTTTAAGAACGCTGTGTTTTTTATATTATCTTGCGCCCCACACGCCCTTAACCAATGTCCTAGTAGCAACGGGCCATACGAACTGCTGTTCACATTACCTACCCATAATGTGGACATTCCTTTGTTTTTGTGTAGTTAAGAAAACTCTGTAAAGTACAGTGTTTTCTTGCAGCTGGGAAAGTCACAGCCCCCCCCCCCGATTATGTTGCCAATTTGTTTGTAATAGGAATCGAAAGCGCTAAGACATTCAAAAATTGAAATCGCTGAGAATTGAAAACTAAAGACGTTTATGGCGGGGTGAGGATTCTTCAAGTTTACGGATGGAATAAAAGTTTACCGTCGTTTTTAGAAAATAAAATTGCCTCCCCTCCTCACCCAAAACCTTGACAAGTCTCTGATCGGCACTCTAACACTGCTTGATTGCACCCCACAGAAGCTTAGTGAAACATAAGTTAATACCCGGTAACTTGAACAACCCGGCACATCACATTCAATGGAGCCGCACGCATTCAATCTCGCTAGTGCCTCAATCACATCTTCAAGGTTAATGTGCTCCTTCTGTCCACTCAACCTTATCAGTTCTGGTAAGTCAAATGGCTGTTCCTGCAGCTGGCCAACAGCCCGCCTGAAGAAGACATCCTCATATTCCTGACGACAGACAAACAGTCCCCCAGCTTTGTGGGTACCATAGCCTTGGTAAGGTGGGCAGGCGTCTTGTCGGGGCACGCCCTCGCGTAGTCGCTGAGCCGCATGGATGATGGAGAAATGGTAGAAGATGGTTAGTCGGGCTTGAGTGAACGGCCAGCTGCGCGTGTACTGGTACAGCTTCTCGAACATGGTGTCGTACATCGGAACAAGGTCTGTCAGGTCAGGAATGCTCGATTTCCCCACGGTGAAAGACGTGTTTCGGGCTGCAGAAACCACCAACTCGGAGATTCCTATTTTGTAGAGAGAAAAGAAATACTGTTCGTCCAATAGTGGCTCCATAGGTTATGATAAATTTGTCTTTATTTTTGGCTGCTGTCACTGCTTTCATTCACCACTTGAGCTGTGTGCAATTTTGTCGATGAATAATAAACCAAAATAACAAATGCAATATGATCGAGCAATTAGGAGGTGACAGACAAGAGCACTGCAACTCATTCTAATACCGGGAAACGCATGGCCTAATCCCCAGCAATATATCTCAATTAACTTGCTTCACAGCTTAGATTCCAATCACCTTTCAGACCTCCAAGTACGTTAAGACAAGCCTGTGTCATTCCCAAAGTTGGCCAATGTTTTAATTCCAATAAAACCCATTGTACCCTCAAGAGCAATCCCGAAGTAAAATCTTCCTCCGGCCATTATTCGCAATGTCTCGATCCTGACTTCAGTCATTTATCACGGAAATCAGCCTGGATAGTATTGTACCAAGAGTTAGTTTGCCTCCACACCAAAGCTGGTGTCAACTGCGCGGGATATCCTCACCAAACGTTGATGCCACAGTCGATTGATGCCGAGCAGTGACATATTCTTCGGGGTGGGGATTAGTGACGCCTGAATTAAGACAAGTAGCTCGTTTCTTTTCAGAAAATGAAAGCGCCAGCATTTCAGCTAACGGTACCACCTTTCGGGAGGTGGGGTAAAGAAGATTCTTCTACGGATGAAAACAAAAGATTTTTTTCCTATTTTACCACCCCCCGACCCGAGACCTGGATACGCCACTGATGCAAAGGCCGAGGGGCTATTCCCCCCCCCCCCCGAGTGTTCTATTGTATTCCTGTATTTTAATAATGAACCCGGATCCGCCCTTTCATTCACATTGTATACAGGTAGTGATAACGCGCTGACGCTCGCAAAGATCTATAGAAGGTGGTGGGCGGTGCTCGCTGATCCTATCGTGGACACTGTTTTACCATTGTCCCTTTCAGGGTGGGTTATGATTGTATGGCCAGGTCACCGGGTAGTAAAAGGACGGGCCTTAGGGGATTTGATCCATAGGAAGCTAATAATTCACTGCAAATCGAGTCACTGCAAGAACGTTTTGTCGATGAAGAATGAGCGTACTTGGAACAGTAACCTTTAATATCTGCCGAGAAGTACTGAAAACAAGAAGATTCAATGTTACTGAAGTCTGACGCATGAAAGTCTAGCATACTTTAACAAAAACAAAGAACAAAGAAAAAAATTACTTCTTGGTCGTTTCTCCTTAAAAAAGTATGTCCTGAAATAATAACTAAGACGATATGAATGTCTCAAGTCTCAATCCTGACAGAATCTTTTTTGCGAAAGGCAACGAACAGATTCTGATGTAAACAACTGAAAAATTAGACTTTCCAAATTTACCCCCCCCTCCCATACTTAGACCAAGGGTCTAAAAACATACCATCGATGGATACATCTTGATGATCTTCAGATGGAATCTCTAAAACCGTTAATGGAATAGGAGCTACTTGGGTAGCCTTTTCGAGCCTCATCAACAACACACGGGAAATGATGCGACCGGCGGATCTCCTCTCCGTGAAGCTCTCCATCAGCACTGTAACGTTCCTCCACACATATTCTGCATGTAAACAGTTGCAGTGTCTGTCGCTTAAAACCCGCAGCAGGCCTACCGTCGTGGGAACTCTGGCGGACGAGGAGCTTGCCAAGTTTTCCGAAGTCGCGAAAATGCACACCAGTATAACTGAATACCCAACACCCCACGGATTCAACATTTTCGCACGGTAAAGTTTAAAACACTGCGATCCAATAACTACACGTATTTACCACCAATCGACATCGAACACACTGAGAAAATACGTACAGGTGGGCCCTGGAACAACAGGCCATGGTTCGGCGGTTGGTTTTATGCATCACTAGCTTCGACAATCAATAGCTAGGTGACAGTACATATAGATCCTAACAAGCTTAGCTGGACGTCAACCTACGAAAGCCTGTTCGTGCCAACTTTTTTCTTTTTAATTTTTAGTTTTTTTGGGGGGGGGGTAATTTTCCCCCTCGGAAGCCTGTTAATGCCAATGTGAACTATGCAAATACATGGTTTTTTTTGCCAAATAACGCAATAATGTTACAGTTTCTCCAGTTAATAAAAGTAGGATGTGTGCTCAATGTAACGGGTGCTAACCACGGACGTATATAAAAAAAACCTGGACTTGCAACGCCTTTGTATGAAAAAGAAGCCAACCAGCGGCCATTTTACCGAGCCGAATACAGAGGCGTGGGTTGAATCCGTTCTAGTGACGTCGGGAAGAACAAAGGCGGGCATTGCTAGGAAAGCTTTGTATTCGGCTCGGTAAAATGGCCGCGAGTGGATTCAACGACTCTGTAGGCTGATTAAGGGCATTGTGAGTCCAGATTTTATTATACACGTCCGTGGTGCTAACGGGGGAGTATACTCCTGCACCCAGGTATGATGCGCACGCATCCTGCTCTTGTTAATTACCTGGAGTGACGTGCCCAAAATGTCCGTCGAACTATTGCATTATTTCACAAAAACATTGCATTATAAATATATAAATAAATATGCATGAATGTGCATACTTCCAATAGGCACAAATGGGCTTCCGTAGAAGAAATAAAAAAATAATTAAAAAAAAAAAAAAAGAAAAAAAGAAAAAAGTGGGCACCAACGGCCTTTTGTACCAATCGACCTGAATCGAAACCATGTAATACCACGACGGAAGTCTAACCTGCGTTTTGCTAGCCTTGTCCAAGGCGGTCTCGGCGCTTTTTTTGTCGCGGAGAGATTCTCAAGTTTCACGCACGGCACCCACGGCAAACGAGCCACTGTGTACTATAGTACACTTCTCCAAAAAAGTTCAGGACCACTTTTGATTTCGTGTATACTTTTTATATGAGATATTTTAATGCTGAAAATGTGCATTTGATGTTTTGAAACATTTTTTGATTTTTTTTATTCCAATGAGAACTCCATCTAGACAAACAGAAAATGAAGGAACTAGACCCCACTCATAGCTTGAAAAAAATTTACAAGTTCAGAAAAAGTGGTCCTTAACTTTTTTGAGTAGTGTGATATCACCGCCTACCAACCCCCCCCCCCCACAGTACTGTACGCATACAGACCACGTACAGCCACAGTACAGTGTTCGTAGGGCAATGCGTGCATGTAGGTGTGCTTGTGAGTGCCACGCGTGGCCTGTCACGGACTGGTCTCAGAACATGTATCACAGGCAAACGCACACAGTCGGACGAATAAACGGCAAACGGCATGCACTTAGGGTACAGTCCACTAATTCAAACCCCATTGAAACCGGTGTAAAACCACCACTGTTCAGGGCCCAGTAACATACGTGCCAACATCCATAATATTTCTGAAACACAAATGAAATTATTGTTTGGTCACAAATCTTAAGGTTTCTTTTCAATTTTTTGTGGGTTAACAAATTACATTTTTAATTATTCCCACAAAACAAACTCACCCCCTCCCGAAAAGTGATTTTTCCGAAGTCTGCTTACAGCCATTTTTCAAGTGGCAACCCTCAACTTTCGGAGGCACTTAGGACCATTTTTCAACCGTTGTTTTTAGCCATTCTGCTCATATGAAAGCTCAAAGACCCAGGGAGTTGATCCTAGCAACGATTTACACAATCTCACCATTAGGTGGGGGGCAAACAATCTCCTTTTTCAAAAGACAACTTTAATGCTAATGAGCTAGCCATAAATTCTCACTTCAATTAGTGGTCTGCACCCTCAAACACAGTGCGCTGGCCAGATCGTCGGAAACTGGGGTGCAAGTAACGTATAAAACGCAACGGACATACAAGGAGAGCTTCCCCCAACGCCTTGGTCAACGCTCGCGTTTCGACTGAGGTTGAAGACCCCCTAGGCCTATCACATCAGATGCACTTACTTGTACCATGGAGGTAGGAAAAGACCTCCATGCTTGTACAGGACCTCAGTAAATGATACCGTTTTCAATATCATCTTGGGTATGGGAGAAATAACCTAAATCCGAGCCATATTTGTAAATGTTTTCAGTTTCTTAGGTTTATATTGAACTTTCGACTGTTATCTATTGTTTCCCCAAGAAATCTATCTCAGGTTCGAATTCAGCGAAGAGTATGCCGGATCTATACCATTCATGTATACATCACAACAAACATTACCGTCAGTCAACTCCGCAAAAGGAGATTTATCATCCAGAAAACAACAGAAAAACACACACTGAACGGTAGCAGTAAAAATTTATAACTTTCGCCTAAGAACAACAAACTTGGGAACTGAAAGAAAAATAAAGAATGAAATAAAGAACTCAACGACACAACATATCTTCGCTGTTTTTTAGCACTCCGAGGTATTCATTTATTACATAATCCAACTGACTGTACAGTAAGGCATAGTATTCACTTTACATCAATCTCTACACGAGACTTAACTAGCCAATAAAAAAAAAAAAACAAGTATCGCTTTTCAATGGCTCTGTCGGGCATACCTTAGTTTGTCATTTGAAAACAGGCCTGATTTCTGTTTTAAATCTAAAGTCTGTCCCAAATTTTGGGTAAGCTCTCTCCCTCTCCTCTGGGACCATAGTGTAACTATCATCGAGACATACATTTGGGCTTTTTCAGCAGTTCCCTCAGTTGCTATGAAAATAAAGATTACATTATTCACAACGTGAAACGGCAATTAATTCTATACTTCAGCTACATAATCGGCACCTGTTATTCACAACTGGCGTTTATTAATATCTACAATGAACATGACAACTACGCACTACTGCTAAAGGTGGACTCTCCCTTTCTGTGGAATGGAAGATTCCACCTTGAAGGCAACCAATCAAATTGACCGTTATATCAATAAGCTTTTATTTTCCAGACAGCATATTTGCATAATCATACTCACAAAATATCACACTTCCAAAAGATTTACAATGTATGCAATAATTTTGCAATGTTTTGCAATAATTGCAAAACAATACCATTCAAAAGAAAAATCTTCTGTGGCTTTGCAATAATTCACATAATTTACACTTACATTTGAAACAACAAAATATGTTTTTGTTTAGTTTCATGAAATATACTGACATTTGTTCTGTGTGACAACCCTGTTGTGTTTTACAATTCCGTACACATTTTCCACTTCATAAATGCATCAAAGTGCATAAAGGAAATGTGCAATCTTAAGGAAAATGGTTCACAGTCCAACCATTCCACTAATAATTACTCATTCTACATGATGGTGTATGTCCAACTATTTGGAACTACGAAACAAAGTGATTCCTCAAAATCTCTTAGGATGTGTATCTCGCGTGCTAAAAGTGACAGAAGAAAGAAAGTAAACAAGTTTTAAAGTTGATATTCAAAATAACTTGATTGAATTCTTGATTAGTTAACTGAATCCTGACATCATTGCCATACAACGATGAGAGACATCTGGCTTGGGATATTTGTCCATGTATCTCATTACTCAATCTAAGGATCTTCATAGAGTCACTCTGAGGTAATCTAGCGCGAATTATCTTTTTTTAAAATTCCAGTCTGCTGAATTTGTTGACACTGCAACTCTATCTTAGATGGTCACCGCGCACTGACTTTGCAGTGTGTAGTCTTCCTACACTCAAAGATGTAGCCTCTTTAAAGCAAAGCCCACTTGCGAAACAAAAAGCAAAAGATCATAACAAAAGCACTGACAGGCAGTTTGTTGATTACTCCACAAGTCAAGAAAAATTTTGAAGGAACCAACTGCCAAGCCTCCTTGCACACATATTCTTCATGTATGCTATGCAATAGATGAGTTTGCAGGGCACAGACCTCTAAGTTCCCATTTTCAAAACAAAATCTTACTTTCTTCAGAAACTGCTCAAATTTGTAAAAACAAAACAAAACTACAAGACCAAAATATCTCGTATGGAATCCTGACTTGTCTATAATACTAGTTCCTTGACGGACAATGCTCAGGCAACATAATAATGGCGCAACTTCTTAGACAGACTTTTTTTAATGTGGAGGCCCAATGGAAAAATAAAAAAAAAACGTTGGGCGGATGATTTGACAATCTCCAGGAGACAAGAAACATTTCCACAAACGGCAAACCCTGATATTACTGCCACTCCAGCCTTTGTCCTTGAGAATGGGACTTACCTTTTGACATGCCTGCATGTCATTTTGAACTCACATTAAACATATGGCACAGAATCGACATAATCTACCACAGTTTCTGAACCCATTTGTGATAAATAATACCCAATCCAAATGACAGGCAATAGGCAAAAGACAATTTTTTCATTGTTGACAAGGAGTAAGAAACATCATTTAAACGGCATAAAATTGAAGTGACCTTCCAGAGAGTAAATACAACAAACACTACTCCTGATCATTAAAATTTCACAATGGAAAGTGGATAATCACAGAATTTTACTCAAACACTTTCTAGATATCAAGGCTACGTTGTGATGAAAAAATACTTCAGTGCCAATGAGAAAGGTTGCAATTTATAACAAAAATCTGTCTTTGGTAACTTTTTCCACTGATTTGGTTCTCTCCCAGTGTGTCCAATAGAATATCATGACCCACTCTTATATTTTGTGAAACATTTATTGTGTCTTTTTAAAACATAAAAACCAATCAAGAAACAAGGGGGCTGGGATTTAGAACAAAATTTAAGTTATGAATTTGTGCAATAAACAGACAAAACTAGTCACACAAATGTAGTGACATCCTGAATAGAAACACAATTAATACAACAATATTAGAATAAAAACTGAAATCGAAAACAACAAAAATAAAGGGAAAAATGATAGAAAATGGGGAAATTGAAATGGCTCTAACTTTACTGCATGAATCACATGTCAGGAGATTTTATTCAAATATTAAACCTTTCAAGGGTCTTCACTGCCATGTTCTGTGCACCACAACTGTTATATTGACCATAAATGTTCTATGGACCATAAACTGTTATACAGACAACAACTGCTATACATACAGGTTTGAAATTGCGGCATGGAAATGTTCCGTCACAATAATATAGCCTTGCTTCTTCAACACTGGTTTGCAAAGTAATAGGGGCTTTATGATAGAACTTGTGCATTGTCATTTTCCTTGTACTGGGTAACGAACTAAAATGGTTTAGAGACAGGTCTAAAATGCCCATCCTTCACCTTTCCTTTAATCAGTGACATTATTTGTACTTAGCCAGAAAAGCAAACTTTCCTCATAAAATTGTGTTTAAAAAAACCCCCAAAACAACCACTGGTGACAGGCAACCACATGCACTGGAATACATAGCCACAAACAATCATACACACTCCATACATTCGCGTCCAACACTTGTATGATCACGGCGACACCAACTTTGAAGCCTCCATCAAAGTTGCTGCATTAAAAGTGCTTCTGACATAAAAATAATACCATTATGAACATCCATACACAAAGATATTAAAAAAATCACATGGAACAATTGATCACTCGGTCAAAAACAAGGTTTCCGGCTATACAACGGTAATTAGCATGAACTATGTATATAGTACGCTATAATACACCTTAATACTTTAAACGATATCGATCTTTTTTTAATTGTAATTTGTCTGGTGTAGCTTGACATTTTTAATAAATCTAAGATTGAAACTTATTTTCACTGCACTCAACTGGTCTCCTGCGAAGAAACTAAATACTCATCTGGCCGTTTGTGCATGGTAAGCGCACGCATGGTGTATGCGTCATGGGGAAGTTCAGACTTTCGTCTTATCAACTGCTTGACCGTCTCCTTCTTACCTGTTGGAGTCTACCCAAGGAAGGAAAAAAAAAAGCAAACAAAAATTTAAAGGCAGCCAAGTCATTTTTAAAAAGTCAAGTCACAAGTGAATATCTTTAAAGTAAAGCCAAGCTGCACGTCAATTTTTTTCATGTAAAGACAAATCTCAAGTCTGAGTCCCCAACTTGAGTCAACAACACTGTTTTACTTGCTGGTATCAGCACTTGAGATGTGGTTGCAAGCATACTTTAATAGAAGGATGCCTTTGAAAACAATTAACAATCAAAAAACAAATGGCAATCTAATCAACTTCAATTAACAATTGAACACAATTAGTCTATAATTACAAGCCCTAACTCAATGGTTCTCACAGCTGGAAAGCGTCTATCCAACACTGGTATTGATAGCCAATGGCACTTTCACTGTACATGCATTCTGCCCTCCAACGATTTCAACAGTCAACAATCCTTCAGACACACTCTGGCCACACTCACAGAGCTACCAAGCAGAGAAATGTACTTAGCACGGGAAACAGTTGTCGGCAAAACAGCTTTCCATCCACAATACCATCTCATTTTAAACTGAGCATGGTTGGTTCCTAGGCTGACACGTGCTTAGCTAGTAATTCACTGCACACTCGTTTCTGAAGCCCCGTGAACCTTGAGCCCTGTTCTCCAGTGCAGGACACAACTGGATGACGAGTTCAACACAACCCCTACATCAAGCGTGATGCTTAGGAACAGTGGCTGAGCTAGGTGGCTGAAAGCAACTGAATGTTATGGAGGCACTGACGACAGACACAGCCACTAAATATGTTTACCTTAGCTTCTGTAGCCACATCCTTGGTGATGTCTCCGTCATAACCATCCTCGTCTGTGTCAACCTCCATACGGCTGTTCTCCTCATGGAAATCGTTGTGCAATCGCTCAAACTGATGGCAAAATGACAAGAAGAAAATAAGGCACACAGGGTGAAATCAGAACTAGAATGCTGATAAAGATTATTGCTTCCATGTCTAAAACTTTAACAAGAAACTAATCAAAGGACAAAATGGTTTGGGATGTATTATACATGTTAACTTTTCCACCTGCTGTGAGGTATTCCAAGTGGAAATCTGTTTCCAGGTTTGACAATGACAACGATGCAAATAGTAATTCTTGAAAAACAAATAGCATAAACAGTCTTTGCAAAAATATCCTAAACCTTACTGCAATAAAACTGGTCAAAACATAAATTTTCATACTGAGAAACCAAGAACTGATTAATGAAGGTCCAGATAACTTTTTTCCCTTAAACTAAACATTTCACTTAATATGTGACCTCTACAAGGTATCTGCTGGCTATCACTTAATGTTTAATGAAATCATCAAGAACTATTTCAACTGACATGATTTTTGAAAACTTACCATTGGGTTTTGTTTTGCAACATTTTCAATCTTATTCCACACTTCGTCCCTCTTCTTTAGTCTGTCTTTCTCACTGTTTTGGGAAAAGGAAATGATGTTATATAACATAATCTGCAAATCCATGTGATCATCTGACCCACTGGATATTCCAAAGATGGACAATGGAAATTGTAGCCTTGATATTTTGGGGTACCACATTTAAGATTTTTTTTCATTGTCAATCCTTAATATTACCCTCTATGGTATTCAGGCCTGAATGTTTGCTGAAGTTATACATGTAGAAGAGTCTTCAAGCTAGAGGACCACCCAGTTTTACAAGATCTTAACATGTCAACTATTTTCCTGGCCTAACAGGATTGCAGAGTTTGCTGGCCACCCACAGGAACCAACAGTGGCACTGTTCAGCAGGACTAACTCCCAGTCTAACTCCACTGCTGTTGAACACCTGGAAAACCAAGTCCCCACAGACTTCTGCACCCCTTTCACTTTGCAGCGATTGGCAATAGGGTTATGACATTTTCACATTTTTTTCTAAAAAGAGGATTTTATCTTTCAACATCAATGATATGGTTTTTTGAGAAACTTTAGTTGCTTGTGCGCTGCTGTTTGCAAGGATTCCCCATCTTACCTCTGTCTTTCCTGTTTGTACTTCTGCGAGCACTCATCAAACAGTTTCTGGTTCATCTCCATGAAGAGCTTCAGTGCATTGTAGATCAGGCCATGTATGGTCCTGTCAGTAGTAAAAGGTAAAAATACCAAGAATGCAGCATGGTTTTAGGGATTCAGGGTTTCGGGGGACATCAACAAACTTGGTGTGTTTAAGAAAGGTGACTTGTATGATTGCGTTTGGAGGAATTCTTCATTCATTCAGTCTGTTCTCAGGCAACTTGATTAAAGGAACCAGGAAATGGAAATATTTTTATAAATTTTACTAAAAACCCTTGAAATTGCATCTTTGGGTTACAATTAACCTTAAATTTTTGTTTTGCAATTTTACCCCATATTTTGATGCTCTTTTCTTTTGGAATCTCAATGTTGCACCGATTTGTGCACAGAAAATTTCTAGATTTTTTTAACCACTGCTATGGCAGATTTTATTCTCTGTGGCAATTTATTGCTGTGTAAGTACATGGCAATAATCCAGCAAAAATCCTTTTCAGAGAAATGTTCCCAGATAGCAAATTTGGGGTTCACAATTTCAACATGAAAACATGCAACCTGAACCATGTCTTCCTGGATTTACATCAAAGCTAAAGCGCCCTCACTTGTCCAGAAATGCTTGGTCAATATTTAATGTTTGAAAAAGTGCACCATTCAGTTCATGTAACTCATGTAAAAAGATGTCAACCAGTCTTCATACATGGAAGACAAAGTACAGAGATACACAAAAAGTGATTCTAAGAAAAATTCTTTTCCTGGATCCTTTAAGTGAAATCCATAAGTCATTATAGCCCTGTTTATGCATAGCCTGACTAATGTTGAGTTAACTGGTTTTAATGTCAGCCAGCGTTCTACCGTAGCCAGGATGAAATTAAAGGAGAGGGGCATCTGCTCGACTTGCCGGAACTTTTGTCAAAAAGAATATAAGTTACCATCATTCCAAACTTATTCTGGTTATCGACATCTCAAGGTTAGATGTTTGTGCCGAAACTTTCAACGATACCAAAAATATAAAGAAAAATAGTTTGTTTCAGAATCATTCATGTACCACCGCCACGGTCTTACCAAAAATCGTCCTCGTAAACCAAGACAAAGCATATCAAAATAACCATCGAGATACCGGTAAATGCATTTGAGAAAAAAACTACAGAGAGAGGAAGACCTAGTTAGTTGTAGCTTACTTTGATAGTTTTCGAGGTGACACCATTTGAGAGGTTTGGGCAACTACCGTACTGCCAACCATGCCATCACGGCTGTGCACAATCGGAACCTGTAGTCTGGCTCCTAACCCATCTACTCTTGCTATTAATTTGTCAGTGGCGCGGCAGGAACCAGTATTGTGCATGCCGAGCATACGTGATGTCTCCACAGAGCTAGCTGTACTGTGGAAACCTGTGCATGTGCACGCTGTGTGTACTGTGTCGCGTTGTGGAAGTTTCGTTCGATTTGGGTGCATTTTGTCAATATTCTGGTAACTTTTTGATGGTGTTTTTGAAGAATTCTTTTTTCAAATCTCTGATAGTAATGTTTCTTAAACTTATTAGCATTCCCCAGGAAAACAGAAGCGTATCGATTACGTATCGGGGTATTTTCAGGGCGTCAGGGTTTTTGCTCAGTGTATCGGCCCAATATGCTTTTGAATGCCTGACTAGAACACTGATGTCAGCCTAGAAGCAAGTCATTTTGTTTGTGTTTTGAATACTGAGCCACTCTTTACAGTTTCAACTGCACCACAATTCTCAGCAGGTACTTTAAGTTCAAGTCACCCAATGTTCTTTTCTCAACAATAGATTGTTTTTTAACAGTTCCTCACAAAAATGAAGCAACAACGAGGTAGGGCACACCATTTTCTGAAACCTTTCACTGAAAGAGGAGTCCCTAAATGAGACCAGCCAATGAAAATGCTTCCTTACTTGTTCCAGTGAGCCTTGGAGTTCTTGTAGAGAGCAGGGAACATGATTGGCAGGATGGCAGCAGCATTGTCACTGATGAGACTCATTATGTATTCGTTATTCCAATAGTAGAGCGCCCTCTCAGCAACCTGCACAACACATGCAATCAAAGTTGAGTATCAAAGAAAATTCATGGCTACATGTATGTCCAAATCGGCCATTTAGTCTACAGCTACGACTACTTACCGTATTGGGTCAATGTTAAAGACCAAAGCCATAGTCACGACACAGCTGAGGTGGACACGGCCTTAAACGGCCAATTTAGGTTTCATAGGGTCCACCGTTTCCATTTTCCTATGTTTTTAATGGGATTGCAGTGAAATTTTCAGGGGAACATTTTGGGACAGAGAAAGTTGAATTGAGGTCAAAACCTCCACCACTAAAGGACGAGTTCTTCCTTCACTACCACTCAGCAGAGTCTTAAAAAATTTGTTTGAGTGCGAGAAACCTATGCAGCCCAAAAAAGCTCCTAATTTTATTTCCTTTTCCTGTCAAGTACATATCATCTTATCCAACATCCAAAAGCATTTTGTACCCATGAACAGGTATGCAGGCTGTAATTTGAATGAAATAGTAGCGTGCACACTTTATGTTCTCACAAAATTGTTGTTCTCTTTTGCAGTCCAACATGGATGGAACAAATATCTTTCCTGTTAAGTTTAGCATTTAAGAAAGCATTGATTTTTTACTTCAAAACAGAAATCATCCTCTGGTCTCATATCAGCTGTAGCATCCACTCCCACATGAAGAACAGGTTGTGGGGTACTCAAGGCATGGCAAAAATGTAAAAACCATCAGGGATACAATGTTCACTTGACGGTAATGTTACTGGCTCCCTTTACTCTGTTTTGCGCCATCTGCTTCTTGCTATTATTATGTACATGTACGTACACACCACATCACAGAGTAATGTTCAGTAATGACACAAAACCGTAACACTGCAAGGATTAGAGACCAGGAAGTACTCCTGTGGACTTGATCACAGCGGTTCAAATGACAAGTCAACTGGTAGGTAACAGGGGATAAACAACAAAAGAATGCCCTTTTCAATGTTCATTTTGCAACTCACTTGACTTGTAACTGTTCTCTGAGAAAAAGTATTAATCTGGATTTTTCATTTTTAAAATAAAGTAAAGCATTTTTGGAGTGTACACGTATCTGTTACCCGTATGAGAAAAATGGCACTATACTTCAATTTCTGCCTCCTGGGATATTTTTCCACAGGCAGGAGAAATCTACACATGAGCATTACCTGAAAGTGCGGGCTCGAGACACACTTGGCGAGCTGCTGGAACAATGGTTCAATGACCTTATTAAATTCAGTAGGCTCGATGACATCAAGAATCTCCTCCAACTCATTGAGAAACATCACCTGCAATGCCAAACAATGCCAAACAATCCCACGGAATGAACGCGACAATTTTGGCTGAAACAATGCCCTAGCCATTCAGAATCTGTTAACTGGCCAAATATTGTGAGCCCTGAGAATGAATGGGACAATCTTGGCTGAGTTCAGAATATGTGTGGTATTGTGCTAAAGCTGGCATGATGATTCACCTAGTACCAGGGGCATTGTGTGTATGCAGTGGTGCTATGCTAAGAATGGTCGACATTGATTCAATTCCTGAAGCACTGATTTCACATTCACTTGGTAGTTGTACAAGAACCTAGCTGGCTGTCTGAATAGCGCATGTGTACAAAATTCCAGTTTGCAAACGACCATGGTGTTGAGAGGTGTGCCTGGCTGTCTAGAAATTCCTAAGACTGCTTGTTGTCACAAGTAAAGAGCAGAGGGGGGGGACCAAAGAAAGGCGTTAGGCAGAGGGGGATCTGAGTATCCTATCAACACCCTTAAGAACATTGTGGGCATAATCTGGTTATACAAATGAGTCTACAAATGCATAAAACTCCAGGGACTAGCGCACCTGCTCTCAATCCATAGCAATTCAAATATTCATATGTCTGATGATGACTCCAATTCTGTGGTAAGAAAATTTACAGGCAGCAAGCCTGAACAAACCTTACCTCTTTGGGACTGTGCACTTTTGGCCAGTACTTGAGGAGGAGCTTTAGAACCTACAAACAAGACAGCCAAAGGGAAATATTCAAAGTCTGTCAACAAACCATATTAAGTGTACCGGTAGATAAAATCAATATAAAAATATAGAAATATTCTTTAAGCGATTGCTAGGATGACATTTTAACTTCCCCTTTTTCAGCAAAAATGACTCAAGAAAGCCAACTGGATGGACTGAAATCTCAGTTTACTAAAAGATCACAGAAGCTATGCTTGTTTAAATGTTAGTTTTTCTTAGTCACAAAAACATCTACTCATAATATCCTACAAAATGTTCAAATTCGTTGATAAATTATTTCAATAAATGACAATTACATTGGTTCAACTCTATTACAGACATTTAATTTGCTCCCTTTTATAATACACAATGAATTTTTCTTGTTCCCAAAGAGATATCTGTTTTGCTCATTTTCATGAACAACACTTATTTTGCTCCTTCATTTGGGACTGGATCTATCTGCAATGAAAGTTAGATTTTTTGCCAAAATTACACTCAGAGACAGGCTGCATTACCTTCAATTCTGCAATTTCTACAAAAACTCACTATCTGAATAATTCCTGTAAACCAGATTAAGTTTGCACGAGTTCAAAGGGAAGAGTGACAAACAACATCCTTACCTTTTCTGTAAGTGTGGGATCTTTCTCTAAGAACTGCACGACACAATATGCTAACTGCAACAAAACAAGGGGTCGGGAGGGATCAGGGAAACGATAGTCAATGTCTTGCACAACTATGTACCCGGAAAATTTCGGAGGAGCCCCATGTAGTCCGGCTCCATTCCGCATTATGCAAATAGCCATGTTTGATCAGGCGCCATTCGTATCAGCCATGATCTCTGTAATAACGGTAACCATTGATACACGTACACTGTATGCGAGAGCACTCCCAATGCAATAGGCTGGCTATTTCCACTAGAACTGACAGCCAATGTAAACAGTATGTGTACCAGACCTACATGTACGACACTCTCTCTTTTACAAGGTGCTTAAGGATTTGGGAATAACTGTTGCCTTTACGTTAAGTTTGCATGTACAGGTAGTTTTAGTTTAGATCTCAATTGATGCATCTTTTGCAAATTCGGTTACATTTTCTCTGTTGGATTATCCAAAATCACTTTCTGCAAATAAAGATTTCCATTCAGAGGGTGCATCAGAATGACAAGAACCATTCCACACACCAACTTTTTCAGCAGACTACATGCAAGACATGCATAGCAGACACCTTACTGGTATTTCCCTTTGATGACCTCAAGGAGGACTGCTAGCTTCAGTTTTTTGTTTGCTTACAAGATTGTTTATTGTTAATTAAACCCTTACATGAAGATTAAAATATGGAAACAGACCCAAAAAAATTCATGCAATTAGCTGAAACCGTAATCAAAAACAGATCACTAAATCATTTGAATAAATAATCATGAGCTTGCGGGCCTTGTGTAATTCTAATTGCCACAGAGAATAGTGCAGGGAACCGGTGAAAAAGCATTACAGACACTAACGCGTATTTGTAACACTTTTTTTGCAATCCCATCATCCATCTCTCTAGCAATCTCTTCCTCTTATCACGCAGCATTAACAAATATTCCTCCAACCCTCACTCCCTGGGGTGTGTGGAAAAAAATATTGAAATTGCAGGATTTTGCCCTGTTAGAGTTTTAATAACTCACCTGTGGGTGATACACGCTGAGTGACTTGGCCTTGTGAAGAGGCATCAGGACTCGTAACAGAAATAGCTTGTGTTCCTCCTTCAGCGGTAAGGCAAAGCCGTTGATGATACTGCAGAACCGGGCCGACAGAGTTTTCATTTAACAACAAATTCCAATTAGAAGACCCCAAATGTATATGTACTCAAAGCATCAGACAGTACAAAAGTAAATGTACAATATGCAATTAAAACATTCTGGCTTGATGTCTGAGTGAGTAGAGGAAAAAAAAAGATGCATTTTTTTTTAATTGAAAAAATTCTTTCATATGCTGAAAACTACAAGCCACTAATTCCCTGTTATAAACAGAAAAATTGATGAAACCAAATAGCTCTCATCCAAACCAAAACTCACCTCCCCAAGATTTCTAGTAGTTCAGCAACACCATTGTGATGCTCTGTTTCATACACAAATCTGCCGGAAATGATGAGAGAGAGCAATGAGTGGTAGCAAGTTCTGGGTCAAAGGTCAGCGAGTTGCTAAGTTCTGTTTGCAGAAAACATGTACTAGTCGGCAGCTGCGACATTGCATAAGCAAATACGCAAGCATGTTGGAAGGCAGTGACAAAAAATAACTCACACAAAGGAAAAGGCCGACTTGATCTGATTTGCTTGTTCTCGGATAGACCAATCTCCAACCTGACTTTAATTTGAAGACTCTTTGGGTATTTACAAAACCCTGGCAAATACTATGCAGTCCATGCTTAGAAGTTTTCTCTTAACATACATGTACATGTAACATGACGGGCAAAGGCATTTCAGGAAGTGTACCATGTCCATTGGAGCGGGCGTATTTCCATATCTGTGTATTTCTGTTGGCTGGTTTATATACGCCAGAGTGTTGAGAGACTTGGAAGGCGTGCATATTTCCATGTACTACGTAAATTGGACATCAAAAATCACGACTGAAAATCCTCTTTACCAAAATTTTTGCCATTTCCAGTTATTAGTTCAAGATTATGCAAAAGTTTGCCACTCAGCTACAAAGAAAAACTGATCCACTCTAACAATTTCAGACCAAGCAAATAAAAAGTCACTCACAGCCTCACGAAAATATCTTAGTTCTGACTGTTGGATACATGTGGGTACAACAGGTTATATTTCATGAAGAAATTAATTTCTATGTTCATTAAACTTTATTATCCATTGTGTGGATGAGTACATATATATGTAGCTATTGTGGACTTACAGGTAGCTGCTACATGTAGTTTACATTTGCGGCCATAAATGACTGATTTTTGGCAATCGCTTTGGATGTTCTCATAATTAAGTAAGTATCATTTAAATTACTTCGATAAGAAAATCTGAAATTTTGTTTTCAAAGACAGTGCCATCTTTCCTTATCAGCCTTTGTAAAAAGTACCGTACATATATCCGTGCACAATTCTGAAAAAGATGCCATATTGTCATTACATGTACCTTGCATCAGCACCGCGTGATCAATCAAACCGTGCATGACAAACCAAACATTAAAAACCTGCGTTTGTATCTAGTGATCATATGGCTAGGTTCTAGTGCCTTTTGTATCTAGTGATCATGGGACTCGGTTTTATTGCCTTTAAGAAACAGGCATGTTTATCTTTTAATCATAACAAAGCAGCTTCTTTTCAGCCCCGAACTGTAGATAAGATAATTGAGTTTAGAAACTGCTTCATATTTTACTGGTACTGGTAGCAAGTCAGCTCACAATTTCGATTCCAAACTACACACTGGCTTTAAAAAGGTCAGATTTTCTTGATTTCTCGGAAGAAATGGCTCACTGTAATTGAGGACAAGACACAAAACGCCATGCCATGTCAAATACATGTAAGTCAATACTGTGGCTTCAACTTAAGTCACATCAACAAGATTTCATGTCATTCACACCGCAACTGGACTGGGTAAGCCTCTGCATGCACCTACATGAACACATGCTTCAAGTGTAGCTGTGGTGAACTTTGCTTAGAGCAAATTTTCCTAGAACATCAGACGCTTTTTCAATATATGAAAACTCTTTTACATTCCCATTTGGTAAAATGCAATGAACAGTGCACTTTTAAAAACTTTTTAGATTATCCATGCTTTCCTGGACAGTTGAGGGCGCAGTTGCTGTAATGTAATCAAAGTAGTTTGGTGCATAGGTTTCTCTATTCTAACTGTGAACCAAGAATTTATTTACTGAAAACTTTTCTGAAAAAGGGGGTTGATGCAGCTTCTTGCTATTCACATAAACAACAATGAATCAGCACAGAGACTAGTTAGCCCAGCAAAATCTACAAAATGGAGGCCTTTTTTGAATACAAACCAATGTAACACTGAGGCTTCTTTCTTAGATGACACCATAGTTTTTCTTAGAAATATGGAAATGTTCATTAGCATCAAATTAAAACCCAAAATACCATTCAAAACAGTGAAACAAAAATTAAAAAGAAGGTTAACTGAGGTGCATTTTGAAGTTTGTAGTAAAACGAAATTGATTGCAGCTACCCTTCAGGTGAATATTTGTATTAACATGCAGTGGACAGGTGCTATAATAGTAGGAACAAAGTCTCCCCACACAAGAGATGGTCAATATGAATTTCAAATACGGTAACCAGCATTCAATCCTACTGCTACAGCATCAGCGCTCTTACCTATAAAATATATGATTGATGTGCTTCCTGATGTATGCCCGCAGCCCCAGAAACTTGCCATAGATCCGGTGTAGAGTGGTCTTGAGGAAATCGCGCTCCCTGGGATCCTCACTGTCAAACAGCTCCAGCAACTGTGATCAGGAATTGGGAAACACACCAACATGTACAGGAACATTGTTTATACGTGGATGCAAGACACTTTGGTTTCCTCCTGCCTCTAAAACTGGACCTTCTTCCTAACTCCGTAATGTGATGCTGATAAATAAAGTGTATGAATAAACGTACAGTTATTGGCGCAAATAGCCTGAGTTGCTGAAAGCGCCATTAAAACAAAACAATAACAAAAAGTACATATACATGTATGTTTTCATATCCCAGTACATGGATGTGTAAGGCCCTTTTAAGAAACCTAGAATTTGTTATCAAGGTTGCCCCAATTCCACCTTCCCCATCTTATCCAAATCTGAAGAAGACATACATGTACCACACAAAAAGATGAAGAACTATACAAACTCGCATAATGAAAACTTCCAACAACTTAATCCAGCTATTGCTGTGATTCAGTTTCTCTTTTGAAAGATAAGGCTTGCAACGTTTGGGCATTTCATGGTAAACATTAAGTTCAATGAAGTTAAACTGTCTTCAGTAACAACAGACCAAAACATAATGAGGTCAAACTTTGTTTACATTTGGGCTTTCCTATGGGGACTTGCTGGATTGAGACCAACCTATCAGCCCGTTCCCATTTGAATTGGGAAAAGGTGGATCTTGATCCAGCATTTTGGTGTGATCATTATCTTACTGCAACGAAACTGCAAGTTGCACTCCCACTAGTGCTTGATCCAACTTTTCGGACGGAAATGTCGAGCTTGAAAGGTCACTGAGTTCAGTATTGCGCATGTGCTAGAGTGCGCTCTGTGGCAGTGTGGCGTGCTGTGGCGGCATGCGTGTGACCCTGCAGTGTTTTGGGTGCAGAGTTCTACTGAGGTGACAACCTTGAATTGGACCGAATGTTCAGCCTAGAACGCTGTCTCTTCAAACTTTGCTTCCGTTTTTGATACTCTGTCACACGCAGCAGGCTATACGCTAAGACGATTCAGACCCACCTATTGCCTTCCAATCTGATCGTGATCCGCCAATTGCCAGATCTGATCCACCAATTGGGGGATCTGATCCCGCAATTTGGCAAAAGGTGGATCAGATCCCCCAATCAGTGGATCAAGTGGGAACGGGCTGTCAGTCACTGACATACCAGTAGGAAAGCACACATGTAAACAAAGTCTGACGTCAGTATCTTGCAGATCTATTTCCTTCCTAAGATGACTTTTTTTTCCTTGTATACAAAATATTTTTCACTAAGGCTTGCATAACGCATGTGCCTGTTTGAAGGTTAAAAAGTTTGACTTGAGATCAAATGATGCCATTTTCATCCATGTGCTAGAGACAGCTCCTTGGCATTCTGCATGTCACTCATTTCAATAAACGAACATGTACCAGGTATTTCATGGTTCCAGTACACAAAGATGTAACATGTTGCACTGTGCCTTTACATACATGTAAATGTACATGTGATAAGCAATGCTAAGGTGTGCTTGCTGTGGAGGTTTACAAGACAATTTGAATTAGTGGGCAAACCTGTTCCACTCAAGCTCTGTAAACTAATTACTTTGCCTTATACACCTCTATGCTTTGCCTGCAGAATTTCTCACTAATTTCCTGTAGAAGTTACGGTACATGTACATGTGGTACTTTTCATCAAGCTGATGAGAGTGCTTCCTCTAATCTGATCCATGTAGCAATACCACAACAAGCTAAAAGTACTTTACATGTCATTCCTGGGATTATGAAATATGATAAAAAAAGGGTTGAAGAGAGTGTTTATTTGATTTCAGATTTATGCATTTTGAGCTCAGTTTTGAGACACTGAGAATGGAAACAAGCTATACGTGTATCACAATACATGTACATACACATACATGTAAATGTCTGTATGTTTGTTTCAAGTTTTTTTTGTTTGTTTTTGTTTTTGCATTTTGAGTAATTTCTCTTCAACAAGCTCAACTGTCAAATCCCAGAGAGAGAGAGAGAGAGTACATGTACACAAAAAGATGAGCTTTAAATAGCTGTAAGGCTCATCACAGTGAACTGGGAAAAACGTCGGTGGAAAACAGTCTGCACATGTTGAAAACACCAAACACCCCAGAGAGATGCAAATCAGCACCTCTAACACTTGAGGCCTTGCCCTTTCCCGATGACCACTTGTCTCCTCACTAGTCCATGTGAGACCTGCACAGCAGTTAAACCATGTAGTTTCGTGTGAATTCAAAGGTAACAACGGGCGGGCGGGCGGGCGGGCGGGCGGGCATGGGGACACTGAGAATGATACATTTGTGGACTTACTGCTTTACTGGACGACAGCCAGATCAGTGATGAGAGTCTGGCTTCCGGGTCGAAAAAAATAATTAAATGTGGAGTACTGCAGGTGAAAAGATATTTAAGTATGATCTGCATGATATCCTATGCTCGCTGGCTGACTTTTCATCAGTTTGACAGAATAGGTACAGGTTGGAACCACAATAATTTGATTCATGAATATACATTGCAATCATTTGCAGAATTCTGTAAGGGTTCTCATTTAGTCCACACACAAGATGAAAATTCCCTTTGGAAGCAACCTCAGAGGTAAATAAAAGTGATATGAAGTATGCCATTCAACAATATCCCAGCTATCTCAGTGTACAGTGCCTGTTTGCCTCAGTGAGAAGAATGAATGCACCACCTCCAAGACAAACTGATCTACCCTGAATTATTCAAGGACAAGTTCCTTTGGTCAGTTACTGCAGTGGTACATAACCGCAGACGCCATGTTTTCTCATCATGCCAAAGACTCCACATTGCCATAGATGAATCCTTGTTTTAGAAAGCTTGTTAGAGGATGACAAATGATATAATTTTTATGACTCTTTTTCCTATTATTCGAAAAGCATTTCCATTTTTTGGTGAGCCTCAAATATCAATTACTAAGGTTTGAGGAATCTGAGGAATGTCTCCATGTACATGTACCTCATTGCTTTTTCCAACCACAGTGTTGTAAATGTTTTGCACCAGGCTGCCAATGGAACAATTTTTTTTCACTGCATGCCATGCTGCCCCCCAGAGTTTGCTCAGGAAGCTAACTGTTGACTACATCATTTCATCATCTTTTCATGTTTCATGTATGTCTACTCTCCAGTCTCTTCTGTACTTACTGGTAGCATTTCCACAAACTGCTGAAAAATCGTTGTTTTTGTCAAGAATTTTTTTCTTTATCCTTAGTTTTCTCCCTAAATCCCTTAGACTTTGTACAGGATTTGTGTCAGCAGCATTTCAGCCAATTCCAAATCTTAAAATTAAATTTAAACCAAGTTGAGACCCTAAGCTGAAGCTGTGAACACTGGCGTAATGGTGCCATCTTCACAAGTCAAATGACAAGCCATTATAGGTCATTTCTTTGATGGTCAATACCCCGAAACAAAAAGTCTGTACTCACACTAGATTTTGTAAGTTGTAGATGAAAACTGAGATGACATCATGATGACGTCTCACTTTTTTATAAACTATTTAATTTTTCTTCTTAAATTTGTTTCCAACATACCTCCCGGACAAAACAAGATATTCTCAAACATTTTTACGCAAGAGTTTTGCGAGGAAGAGTTAGTATGACCACTTGGCAGAAATTGGTGTGATGTCATGATGATGTCATCAAATTCATAAATTTTTGTTTCACATATTACATTCATCCAATCATCTTGAAATCTGGTGAGAAGATGCCATGTTCTTTAAATTAACTATGAAATTTCATGTTGATGTCACCAGTGAGTTTTAAGTTTATCTATTTTTTCCTGTGAAATTTCACATTTGTGAAGTCCTTCAAGATTGAACGTATCTATACAATGTCATCATGACATTCTCAAGTGACTAAGTATGGATTTTTAAATCTTGAAATGACTATCATTACAATGTACAGTACATGTACGTTTTTCTCTGCAGCCAACCCAGTGAGAAGTCTCTTCAAGCTTTTTAAAAGTGGAAAAGCTTTGTGTTTGGTGCCAAACAGATGTAAACTTCTTTTACTTCTAATTTTTGCCTGGACTAGGTTCAACTTACATGTAAGTTCCCATAAACTTGCCTTTTGTGTGTGTGGGCTTTTGGATTCTTTGCTTGTACAATTTGTCTTCAGTCTTTATCAGTGTCTTTCATGTTCAGCTCAAAAAACAGCAAATACATTTTTTTGTTCTTTTGTATGCCACCTTCTTGTCTATGAAGTTCACAAACCTATAAATCAGTCTGTTCTTTTTAAAATTCTGCTGCTGAAGTTTATTTTGTTTTCTGATATTTGTCTATTTCTGTAAGATGTACATGTACCAAGTTGTGTTGCAACATTTCAGTTACATTTGGAGATTTCATTGTTCCTTTATATTTAAATTAATCCACAAAAACAGAAATGTTACTTTTGTGAAAAGAAAACAACAGCACTGCATACAGTACCAGTAATTTGATTGGATTAATTTCCCAAGTTTAAACTTAAGCATGAATACCGTAAGTAATCTCTTTCACTAAAAAGGTGATATTTTCACCTGACACTGACCATTTCAACACGCTCAGACTGCACCAAATATCATCCAATAACACTGTTTTTGGCTTCCATCAAATACATGTACATGTACTGGTTATATAACGAAAATAATCCACAAATTATGCAGTTTATCTCAGACCACTGAGCTCCAGGCAGTAACAGAATCACCTGCCAAGATGCACTAATCCATGTTTATAATGTATACATGTACTTGTTGAATAGCTGGGAAATGCCAGTCCCAAGTCTCCAGCACTGTCATGCTCACAGTCACAGCACCTTCCATCCCGGGAGACAGTATTACCGACAATACACCGGATGCTACATGTGTGAATTGCAAAACACACAGGACCCCCCCCTAATTCAGCCTGCCTGGCTTTACAAGAAGTCAGATGTTTATTTTTGCACATGATCTTCCATCATGGTCCATTTTCTTCTCTGTCTGGTCCATCTGCAGCATTTTGGCTGAGCTAGTAGAGATATGAAAGATGCCAGTCTACATGTATGTTTCCCTGTGGC